CACCAGCACCTCCCTCCAGAGGCTTTCCACAACAATAAACATGTTTTTCATTCAGTTCTAGTGGGGAAAATTATCTTCTTATGTCCTTCAACTACAAATTCAATTCTGCAAGCATCTGAGTGAGTACGAGCAATATCTAGAAAAGGGAAGTCCCTATAAAGCATTTACGGGGGGGGGGGGGGGGGGAGATACAAGATCCAGGTAGACAACAAGAGGAATCAGGTAAGTATGTGCTTTAGGGCAGACCAGCAACTGTCAGGAGTCCTGACGGTAAGAGAAACTGGAAAGCAGTTTAAGAACAAAGCCACCATTATCCAACTCTACAATAGCAAAAGGTGTAAGATAATTTACTGTATCCCCAATCTATTACTCAGGAAAGTCTACTGGATTTAAAAGAAAAAAAATCAAGGAAAGCTTTCGAAATTTATCCTGGCTCCAAACTACCCATATCAGGGTCCCATCCAAATTCTTATACCACAAAGCCAAAACTCGTCTTAAAACAAATCTTACTAGATCCAAAGTTTCCATGACAATCTCACAGCAGAAAGTGGTGTTTTCTTTCATATAGAGATCCTGATTATCTTTGTTTTAACATCTTTTTAGGTCCTAAAAATGTGCTATTTGGAATAGTTACACAGTACAATCTCGAGGTCTGTATATGTGCAGCATCTGGAGCTAACAGTAAGTAGTCTGAATTAATTTCCTAAGTACATTCTGTTTCCTCTAAGAATCAACAGGGAGCGGGTGCTGGTATGAGAAGTCTGCAAATTCATAGACATCAAGGCATTATCTGTAGGCCAATTAAGTTGAAAGTATTACTATCATGTAGAAGTTTGCAAACCAGGAGAGGCTGGGAAACAACAGTTCTATACTATAACTTCTTCAGATTTTTAAAAATCACCAACAAGTTTTCTCATCTTAATCGGTACACAGATTTTTCATGACAAAAATCAGAGAAAAATCTGTTTAGTTTTCCTAGACTGAACGGCCATGGGCTGGTTCATTACTTAACTTCTTTGAGCCTCCCTTCTCAAATTTAAGATTGAGGGTGTGAGACTAGATGCCCTCAGAGGAAAATACTGACTTAATTAACTAAGATAATTACTTACAGATTGACTTCAACAAGGCTTCTGGTTCAATCCTAATTCACCCATAAACAGGAAAAATAGAGAACTGTCGTAGTTATTAAATTATGTCATAAATTCTTTGATACTCCACCCTTCAAGACACGGAGCTTAATTCCTATGCCCTTGGCTATAGGCTGGACTTAAGTGACTTTCTTTTAACTAATAGCATGTGGCAGTGGTGTGGCTTCCTCCTTGCTCTAGCTTCGATTACTTGCCCTGAAGGAAACAAACTACCACCATGTTGTGAGGACACTCAAGCAGTCCGTTGGAGAACTGAGACCAGCCAACTGCCAGCATTAACTTGCTAGAGTATGAGCCACCTGGGAAGCAAATCCTCGAGCCCAGTCAACATCTTGACTGTAACCCTCATGAAAGACCCTGACCCAGAACCACCAAGCTAACCTAGTCCAGATTCCTGACCCACAGAAACTGTATGAGATAGGCAAATATCTATTATCTGAAGCCATGAAGTTTTGGGGTAATTTGTAATAGCAAGAAAATTAATCTACCAGTGTTTTTCAAAAAGTGGACCTTGATTCATCTGTAACTGATGAAATGAATTTAAACCACCACCATCAGGTTACAAGTACTATTTCCTGAAAACTGTTTAAATTTTACATATATGTGTATTCCAGGTAGCATTTAATAAAATATGTATCTTAGAATTATAACTAAAAAGGTAGGAAACCCAAAAGCCAACGCTAACAGGATTAAAACGAAAACTTCCCTAAAGCATAGGCAATCCTTGCAGGAATATGGACTCAGTAACAACCAACTATAAAATAAGCATTTCCTATAAACTTTATAACCAAACCAATGAGATATAAGACACTCTCAAAATACATCTTTTCTGACTTATATTTTAAACTTCACACAAAACACAGAGGGCGTGGTAGACTTAAACATGTAAAAACATGTCATTTTCCTAATTCAAGAGGCTACCCAGGAGGACATCCTTATAAAATTATGCGGTGAAAAAGCTGCTCTGGGATCTACCCACATCTATTATTTCCTCTATTACTTTTATTATCAGTGTTAAAGGAACTTCCACCTTCCACCTCAGCACACATGCACAACAAATTTTTGCCAAAAAGGAAAAAAAAAAAAAAGCTAAGTACACTACTATTAAATTGCTTTCTGCCCGCTGTCCATTTCTCACTGGAATTATCCTCTTTAGAATACAAGCAAGTGCATACTTTTCTAATTGTATTTCAGCATAACATGCATCAAAACTTTCAGCAGCACATGACTAGAATATTTATGCATAATTCAACTTTTGATGAATCCACTTAGATTATTTGCTTACACTGTGATTTTCTTTGAAGTAAATGTGTGAAACAAATTTACCAAATTTATTTTCCAAATACCAAAATAAATCAGTACATAAGCACTAAACAGATGATTTAACTTCTTATTTTTCTTGTTACTGAACTCAGGGCATTTGTGCCTCTCCCACAACCAGACTGACAGCTTTCCTTGTCCCAATCCTGAGATACACTACTAGTTCTTTGCAATGACTATTTTCTCCCCAACCTTTGCATATGTATCCACCTAAATATTTCCACTTCAGCAAATTGTAGGAAGCAGATATAACTTGTACAGAATTCCTTATAATGCTATTACTTTATGATGGTGACTAAAAATCAAAATAATTAGCATACTTGGCAAAATTCAAGTACGCATGCCTATGCCTTGAGAAAACTGGCAGCAAAGCAGCCCAGTTCTAAAGTCGAGAGCCACAGTTCCTGAAGAGACTAGGATGCTCCTGACAGCACTTTCTCTAGGAATGAGATCCAGAGTTTCAGGAATAACCCTGGTTTTCTTCTGTACCACTATATGAGAGTATAGAACTGGGAAACTATTCACTGGTCTTAAGAATAAGCAGTTACTTTGAGACTCAAGGCCAATACTCTAGACACAGTGGCTAAAACTAATCCAAAACTTTAGCATCGGTTTTGCCCACTTTTTCCTTTAGTTTCCCTCAAGTCAGGTCAGTCTCCATATAAGCACTCCATCACACCATAAACTTGAAAGTTCAGTCAAGGTCTAAAAGAATTAAGTAGGCAAATATCTCTGACGGTCTACCAATGAGAATAGTTAATCACTTTAGTTTCCCAATAAGACAGACTTCAACTGCAGAGCCAATCCAAGGAACCTGGCATGCCAGCCTGAAGGCCAACTTTGATGTGTTAGTGATAGTGCACTAGGAAATACTTGTATCAGGGTCAGAATTTAGTTTTGCAGGCAGACATTTAACCACTCAAGTCATTTATCTAGCTGATCAAAGAGTAAGAAAGTTCAAGGCAGGTATGTATGAAATCTATTATTCACTTTTGGACCACTAAAGTTACACAGCTGCTTATTTTGTCTTCAAAGAAAGACTTAGTCATCAGGAGCCCTGGGTATAACTGGATTACTAAATCAAACTCACATTTTTAGGAGGGGGGCACTTATGTATGTTAAATTGTCTTAAGTTACTAATCTTGCCTTAAATATTTTGGGAAACATGTGCCAGAGCTCTGTGCTAAAGTCTGGCCCTGTAAACCAAAACGAGTTCAACATCAAATTAACTGAATTGCATACTCTAAAACCAAAGAGAATCCTGGGAAGTGCTACCTCCATTTCCTTAATAAGCCATACTCTATAGTCTCCAAAATCCTAAGTATGTAAAATACAGAAATCATTAAATCGTCCTCAAAAAATTAAGTTGTATTTCCAAAGACATAAATAAAATTCTAGCAAAATGGAAACACAAAAATAAACCTCAAAATGTTAATAATGACCACCAGAGAATCTAAGTCCCCTGCCTGCCATGTACCCTGTTTCAGGACCTCCAAATTTAACAGAATGGCCAACTCTAAATCCACTCTAACAGTACCACAGAGACCAAAACTTAACAGGCAAGTAAACTGTTCTTAAGTAACAAACATGCTTTGCCAACTTTTTTTTTTTGGTTTGGACCAACGAGCTATAAACTAAGACATAATTACCGAAATAAGCATCAAACTCCATCCTAACAAACGTCTGACATCACACTCAGCTGGTCTGTAAGGCAGCACTTGTACCTCTTTACACACAGCACAAACTGACATACCGACTTCGGTACGACTTTTCAATTCCACTGGTGACAGAAAATTATATTAGTGATTTACAAGTTTCTCCCTAGCTCTCAAGTCCACTCATTTCAAGTCAGGATGAAAACTCGTGACACACGGGAAATAAAGGGACAAAGGTAATGGCCAAGAGATGTCAAGCAGAAGCTTGCAGTAGGATCCGAGCAGTTCTGCATCCCTTCCCGGAGCATCTCCAGGATTGTCCTACCTAAACACTTTATGTAAACATGGGGCTTGTGACTCAAGCCTCCAGCCCCAATAGGTGGAGAGAAGTTTCCTCGCCTCGGCTGCACATGGTTTGCAGAAGTTTGGCTGGAGCAGAGCGGAGCCTGGGTGGGAGCGGCAGTGTAGTTAGTGCTGCAGGCGGCGGCGGCGGCGGCGGCAGAGCAGCAGGAGGCGGAGGCGGGCGGGGGGAGGGGAGGCGGCTGGGGGGGCGGAGGGGGCTCTTGCCGCCACTGCTCTCTCGCCGCCTCTCCCCCCCGGCGGGAGCCGCTCTCAGCCTCTTTGCACTAGTCGCTCCGCTCTCTCGGTCATGTGACCTTAACGTAACCGGACAGGAAAAGCCCCGCCGCCGCCGCCGCCGCCGCGCCGGAGACACCGACCGCGGCGGCAGCAGCAGCAGCAGCAGCGAGAGGCAGAGGCGGCGGCGGCGGGGAGAGCACGGCCAAGGCTGCCCAGTGGTGCCTCCTCCACACCCCCCGCCGCAGCAGCACCGGCGACAGGTAAGCGCGCAACGCCTCCACCTCCCGGGGCCGGTGCCCACGTGCCGCCCCCGGCCCGGGCTCCGGGAAGGCGAAGGGGGGGCGGGGGCCACCGGAGCTTGCAAACGGTTCCGGCACCAACGGTGGCAACAAAGAAGACGAATGACCCCCGTCCCGGGGCTCCGGGTGAAGGCAGGCGGAGGGCCCGGACCACACGGGGACCCAGTTCTGGGAAGCGAGGGCAAGGGCGCCCCGCGGGGGCGGTGGCGGCTGCGCCTGGCGCCGGGGCTCTGGCCGCCTGACAAAACCATCCCCCGGAGCCAGGCGGCGGCGAGTCGGCGGCGGCTCCATCCGGGGCTTTGCGGGAGGGGGAGGGGACGGAAGCCGAGAGGGCGGGCGGCGGATCGGAGGGAGGGAGGGAGGAAGGGGAGGGGGGCGATTCGCGTTCCGTTCCCCGTTGCCGGTCCCTCCCTTCTCGCCGCCACCGCGAAGTGCGTCCCGAGCGGCGGCGGCCGGTGAGCGTCCCGCGCTGGAGCCCTGAGAGGCAGGCCCGTCAGGTGCGTAATCCTTCCGACGCCTCGCCGCCGCCTCCTGCTGCTGCCGCTGCTGCTTCTTCGGCGGCAAGGCCGCGAGCTGCGGAAGTGGGTTTGGGGGAGGGGAGCGGAGAGGGAGGGGGAGGGGAGGGATCCGGTCCGACCGGAGCAGGCCCGGCCTCTCTGGCGCTTCTCCCAGCTGCAGCGGCTCCTACAGCTGCTGCCGCTACTGCTGCGGCTCCGCCTCCCCGCTCGCGGGCGGGGGCGCGCACGCGCGCTTCCGGCCTCCTCGGGTCTCGCGCTGTCTTCGGCTCTCGCGCGCGCTCTTCCCCTCGCCCTGTCTGACCACCCCCCCGCCCCCGGCGCCGGAGCTGTTGCGCCAGCCGGGGCGTTGCGCACGGCGTAGGCGTCGGCATTGTGTTAAACTCCGCGGGACTTGGGGCGAGCGCGCGCGCGCACGCGGGACTGAGGGAAGCGGACAGCGTGCGGCGCGGCCGGAGTGCGTCGCCCCTCCCCTCTCCTCCTCCCAGCCCCTCGGGGATGGGGGCGGGGCCGGGATGCGCGGCGTCCCGGCCCGCCGGGCCCCTGCCGGTCTGGCCGGCCCCGCCCCCGCCCGGGCCCCCGCCCCCCGGGACGGGGCGGGGCGAGGCAGGACTGGACGGCCGTTGGGCCGCTTGTCTGCGGGCGGAGGAGAGATGTAGGCCTCGGTGGGCGCCGCCCGGGTGGACCGCTGCGGGTGTGGGCGCGTTGGGCCGGCAGCCTCCGGCTTCCGCTCCGCTGCCGATCTGCGCCTCAGCTGAGGCCGAGGTTAGCTCGGAGCTGCGCTGTGGTTTCTGGCTGCTTTGCCGTGGGGCGTGGACCGGCCTCCGTGCCGCACCCCAGGCCGGCGCGGCACTCACACCCCGGAGGGCTCCGAGAAGGGGAGGCTGGGGGCACGGAGGCTGCTTCCCAGGCCCAAGGCGTTTTTCCGTTGTAACGGAACCCCCAAACCATTGATTTTTAAACAGGCTGCAAAGAGATCTGATAATACAGGTGCTTAGGAAGCAAGGTTTTGTCGTTTTTAGCTGGTAGTGAAGGGGGGGCGATTAGAAAGCAAGGGTAGCTGAGCAGGCAAGAAAATGGGCAGGGTGAAAATGCAGGTAGTTATTGCTAGGCCATTTACTGCACGAACTTCCAACTGCTGAACTAATGATGCCTTAGGGAATTAATCCCTCTTCTCCCCCTCCCGCCCGCGCGCCACCGGCTGCTGTGTTCATTTGCTCTTCATCAAATACAATGGGCCCACTTAGTGTATGAGTCTCAGTTCTATTCATTTTCATAGGTTATTGTTTCAGTAAATAAAGCATAAAAAAGGTCACAATTACTGGCTCACACAGAACTTAGGGGTGCTCAGGGTTCCTTTAAATGGGCTGCCCTGTCCTTTTTAGGACAGACCTCCATGTAGACCCTGACGGAACCCTGCACTAGCATTTTAGTTGGAGAGGCCTGAAACTTTAATAGAAAATCAGAATTAAGACATTTTAAATGCTCATTTCTGTGATTTATTACAAACCAACATTAACTGTTAAAGTAGATTTTATTTTGCATTTTAAATAACCTTGGTGTATATCCAGGGTGTTTTCAAACTGTTGAAAGGTAATTTTTAAGAAAAAAGTTCCACATTCCTTTAAGCTGGGCATTTTTCAATAGATTGGTGATTTATAGAAGTTTATTTTCTAGCCAAAGAATTGACCTGATATTGACACCATGGTAAGATCTCAAGGTACAACTTATACCAGTGGTAGTAATTGCCACAAATGAGTAGTTGAGGAATCCTTTAAAGGGTGGCAGATAAACCACCCTTGAAGCTTTGTTGTAATGTATAGTCCCGCCACTTGCCAGTTTTAAAGCTTCTCTCAAAGAGGGTGTAACTAAGTGGTGCTCTGCAAACTTCCACTGAAATACTCCAGCAGCAGAGTAAACTCAAGGCATGTTTTAGGCCACAGAATAAAAGGTGCCACAATGACATTTTCTTTTTTATCATAATGATTAATATGAACTTTGCACTGTCCTCAAAGAACTGCACTTTTGTAATATAAAAATTATATATATAAAATATAAAATTTTATTCACCTTAACCCTCGAAGAAGATGCTCCTTGTAAACACTGCATGTCCTGTGCACAGGGATATGCTTTCCCCTGCTTGAGAATTCCTGACATGGAGGTAGAAAGTGAAGGAAGCCTTCAAGGCTGGTATGTGGCATTGGCTTGGGAATGGCTTTGGAGTTGGAGACTCTTCTGCCATCTCTTCTTAACTGTCTTGGTGCTTCATCCCTAAACCCACTGACCTTTCCCTGAAGTAACTTTGAAATGTTGAGCAAGTGGTGTGGGTCCAGCCTGTCACGGTGAAAGAACTGCTGGTCTGCTGGAGACTACCATAAATTTCAGAAGGCATATGGCCAAAATGGGAATTTATTACTTTTCCTACTTCCTTATGGTTGCAAAGCATGACTAAAAACCTAAAAGGAAATTGAGAATTTTTATTTTCCTGAAAAAAAAATTGTAAACATTCTAAGCATTAGAACATTTTCTAAACCTTTTTTATGCCCAGGTTATAATTTTATTAGCAAATTAAACTTAAATACTTATAATATTACTGTGAGTCAATAGTAAGTAAGAGTCAGTGTTTTACAATGCTAATATGCCATTACGGGATGAAGTCAGTAGCCATAGAATACTTCCAGGAGTTGGCAGTCCAAGAGAGTTTAGGACCATTTTTTTCTATGTTATATAAGGCCAAGTTAGAGGCTGTATTTATGCTCAAATACATAATTCCCAGTTCACATGAATGAGGAGGTATGCATCATATATGACTTTCTCACTTCAAGAAAGCTCAGTGTGCAAAGACAGGAATTTGTAAAGCATTTTTAGGTATCTAAGTACTTACAAAACAGCTTTTTTTACAGAGGTACAGTCCCTTTAAATTGTGTACCCGCCTAAGTTCTGCATCAAGCAAGGATGAACTATCAGAATCATCTGAGAACAGTTTCAAAGTCTGTTTGTGTTCTACATCACGCCTATCTGCTTAAATTCTCTGAGACCCAAAGTGATTCTGAACAGGGGTTGTCTTAAGTGTGGTCTACACACTGTTCTGAGTCTCCAGGACCCCCTCAGGGTTCCACGAGGTCGAAACAATTTTCATAATAATGGTAAGATGATACTGAACTTTTTAGCTGTTGACAAAATGTGTCAACATTGGAAAGATCTGCTGCATAGCTCACTGAGCTGAAATTTTCCAGTGACCAATGGGTGATGTTCAGAAAAACCATGCATGGGTAAAAGATCATTTCAAAGTGCAAGATAGAGCAATGAATTTTACTGTAAGAGAGTAGGAAAATTTCATTCGTTATGTACTTTTAGATCATACTGCTAACCTTTAAGAAACTACAACTTGTCAAGTTTTGGTGTAGTATCAAAGAAGAATATCCACAATTACCTGGAAAAGCTATTAATATATTTCTTTCTCCAACTACATATGTGGGTGAGGTTAGATTTTGTTCAGTACTCAACCAAAACAGTTATCACAACAAAGTAAACGGAGAAGTAGAGTAAACGTAGAATCCCATTGTCTTCCATTAAAGAGATTTGTAAAAATAGCAAATTAGATTAGGTTTTAAATTTTGCTGTGTGATCATATGTAGCTTTCCTGAAAGTTGATTATAGCATAATGCCTTTAGAATTATCACTTTAATATCAACTCCATGAGCCATAAATCTCTGACTTGGTTCTGCTTGGCACAAACTGTCCCGGAACTGCCTCCTTCTGACTTTCACTTAGTAATTAAAAAAAAATAATTCCAAAGTTAACGTCAGCAGTCTGTAATTGAAAAGACAATCTCTTACAAATCCAATGGTTTTCCCCAAAGTCAAGATACGTGCTGTTGATTAGTTTATGTCCCACCTTTTTCTAATTTCTATGGAAAAGGATTGACTAATGTTAAGAACAATACACCAGCCTGTCACCACAACTAATTAAGACACATTTCCTCGCTTTGAGATACAATTTAAAAACATTAAAATTCAAATGACCAGCCTCATTCAGGTTTACTTTATAGGCCCTAAATATTAATTATTAATACTACTAATTGAAAAAGCAGTTTTTTTCATCCTGGTAAGTGGTCTGAACTACTTGAAAGAATCAATCTTACTTGTGGGTAGTGCTTTTTCTGTTACTGATGTGTCCTGTGCATTACAGTATTCATTTATGCTTCACTTAAATAAAATTAAGGACTTTAGAGGACCCTTTTAGTGCCCTAGAAATGAGTAGTCTAAGTGGTATTTGGTATCTTAGGAGAGCTATTATCTTTATAAAGTGAGTCATCAATTCCCAAAAGCTGCTTTGGTCTCCTCTTCTTATACTGAAAATGTAGGAGGAAGTTGGGTTGTCAAAATATAATGTGATTATATTTGACCCACTCAGCTGTACCTCCAAAAGATGAGTAACTTAAACATAAGGATCAGCGCCACCTGTGCTGTGAGCACTTGACATCTAGGCAGTATCGCTTTATCAGTGTGGGAAACAGTGGTGAAACATTAAATAATACAAATGGTCATTTATATTTAGCTCCGAAAAGTGTTTTTTACGTATTTCAACATGTCTCTCACGGTCTCTGAATTTGCTTAGGTTAAAAAAAAACAAAACAAAAAAAAGCTTTGAACGCACATACATGCGTAAAGAAGGCATTCTATGAAAACCCACTTTTAAGAATGGCCTCCCCTCAGGATGCCTGGCTGATTCATTCCATAGAGCATGCAACTCTTGATCTCAGGGGTGTGAGTTCTAGCCCCCATGTTGGGTGTAGAGATTACTTAAAAATAAAATCTTAAGGAAAAAAAAAAGAATTGCTTCCCGTCTTCCATCTCCATCTCCGTTTTTCTTCAGTTCCTTTCTGCTTACTATTCTGATTTAAGAAATTCTAAAAAATGATTTTTTTTAAGATTTATTTATTTATTTATTTGACAGAGAGACACAGCTAGAGAGGGAAC